CGCCCGCGCGGCATGGGGGGCAGGGGAAGCCTGGGCTGCGGCGGGGATAGGGAACGTAACGTACAGGCGTTTTTTAAAAGTAATTAGGGAAAAGCCGCCCGCCCGCCCGCGGGACCAACTGGCCGGAGAGCGCGGCGGGTTGGGGAGAGCGCTCTGGCGGCGGTCGCCAACGGCCAACGGCCGCCGCCAGCGCGGTCCGGGCGCCGCGCTGCCCCTGCCGTGAGCGGCKCGTCCTAAAAACGCATGTGGAAACGCGAGCAACGCCTGGCAGCGCCGGGAAAACGGCTCCAGCGCCCCAAAGCCAGCCAGACCGGCCATGCCCTGTCCCACCACRTCCTGGCTCCCCATGGCCCCATACACAGGGCTTGTTCTGTGCCGGATTTGTTTCTCAAGGTGGATTTTAGGGAGAGGAGTCACGGCACCATCGCCCTGGCCGCCAGAGGAGCCGCCTGCTGCGTGTCCTCGCTGCTGACCCGAGGGAATGCGGCACCTGGCTGCTGTCACATTACCAACTTGTTAGGAATGAGGAAGGCCCTTGGTGGCTGCCGCTGAACGGCAGACAGGTCCTAGGGCAGCTGCGTTTGCCAGGGCCCTTCCGAAGGCACTTCCAGGTGGCCRGGGTTCCCTGGGGTTTCTCTAGATGCCCTGGTTAGTTGGAAATTCAGAATCCGGTGCTTCGCTCTCCTGCTTAAGTACAAACAGGTCAAGGGAAGTTAATGGCACCGTGGTTTGAGCAATGGAAATAGCATCTTCTGCAGCTGGTGAGAAGTCACTCAGAGCCTATGGCCCTGAGTGCTYGTCATTCCCGGGAAATGAAAGTCCAGGTCCCAGGCTTCTCCTCACTGTCTGCCTGCAAGTGTGAGGCTGGTTTGTTATTTTGAAAATATCTTCCTGATATCTTGTCAAATCAAATAGCTTTTGGTCCCAAGTATCTGCCCCAGCTGCTCCTGCAGTGGTCAGGAAGCTCTAAACCCGTTTCCAGCTGGTCACTAGTTTGAACTTATAAACACAGAATGAAACAACAAAAGCCATAGGTAGAGTATTATTAAAAAAATACAAAAAAAAAAAAAACTTTAAAAAATACACTTAAGTTGAAATTTGAAAACAATTTGTGCTAGGCTGCAAGATCATGACTTCGTTTTTTAAMTTAGATTGGAAGTAATTTTTCCAAGTTTTTGGTACGTTCATTATTCCTATAACGTAATCTTGTCCGAGATCTTCTGCACAGATGGCAATAAGTTTTTCAAAGATGATTGCACTGACACCCCTATTTTTCTCTGCTTCCCCAAAAGAAATCCTCTTCCTCGCAGCTCCATCCAAAAGCCTAGAAAAGGCAATATAGTGAGAACTGGCTTATGATTATGATATTGCATAGGCCTTTGCTGGATTTTATAATCTACCAATTTATGATTATTTAAAGTGCTTCACACACTTTCTGGTTTTACGTTAAAAACACTTTTATTATTTTAAATTAAGCACTGTATCAAACATTGTATCTGATAATGGTCTGTTTTACAAAACATAGCTGTAAATACAGCTTCTTTCGTATTAACTTACAAGCAACTTCAAGACTTGCTTGGTGTTTAGCTGCATATTGGGGACATGTCTCACTAGGAAGCCCTTCCTGGGTGGCTGTGCTGAGCAATATAGCAACCCCAGTTTGTCATCCTGCTATTCCAGCCCAATCATCGGCAGCRTTTTCTCAGCTACCTTTCCTTCCCTTTCTGGATCTTGCACAGCTGAACCCCACTTCATAATTATTTACAGYCTGGGCAGCCTCAATGAGAAATTCTGCACCCTTCTATTTCTGGTCTTAAGCAGTGTGTGGAAAAACAAACTCATTATAAGCCTGTAATTTCTAAGAAACCACTAACATCTAGTCTAACAAGGATACAAACAAATGACAGGACAAACCTAACGTAAAACTGGAGGAATGTGAGTCTCTGTTCTCCATACAGAGGATAAGAGGCAGTGTCCATGACCACTAGAGACAGGAGGGATGAGAATGGCCTCTGCTGACCTACTCCAGAAGACCTCCAAAATCCTATACAAGAAAATGAAAAATACCTGAAATAAAAGAAAATACCTAAAATAAATTATGTCATTGAAGAAAACACAATGTCACAGACGGAGGAGGCAGTACCAGATGTTCTGTTTTGGGATATTCTTGCTGATTTTTGGTAGAAATATCTGGAATGCATCACTGATGGGTGTTAACGTAAGTATTAACGAATGAAAGAACTCAGAAAAATTTATTTGCATTATTTCACAGAATCACAGAATGGTTGAGGTTGAAGGTGACCTCTAGAGATCATCTAGTCCATCCGCCTGCTCCAGCAGGGACACCCAGAGCGCGGAGCACAGGGCGGCATCCAGGCCGGTTTGGAAGCCTCTAGAGAAGGAGACTCCACARCCTCCCTGGGCAGCCTGTGCCAGGGCTCTGTCACCCTCACAGGAAAGCAGTTCTTCCTCGCATGGAGATGGAACTGCCTGTGTTTCAATTTATACCCATTATTTCAYCTATAAGTGTTCAAATGAAAAGAGCTCTGCTGGACAGTTATTTGAATAATTTTCCACATTATTAGTTCTTTAATTTTTAGCTATTAAAAGATCTGCCTGATTCAAAAGCTCTCTGTGAAGAAAGGAATCAAATGAAAGCAAGTTTCTGTCCATATGTTTGTATATTACTTAAGAGTTAAAAAGGAAATGAAATTAAAAAAAAATAGAAGCGTAGTCAGAGCAAATGTGTTTTCTATTTGGCTTGGGTTCTGTTGTGTTATTTTAACTACTTTGAAGAATCTAACATATACTTTTGTTGTTCTTTAACATACCTAACCATTTACTTAAAATAGTTAAAATACATATGTGCCTGAAAGTTATTTAGCCATATTCTCTCAAATTAATTTAATCTGAGTTAAGCTCAGATTGGTTAATATTTGATATGTTCCTTCTTATAAGTTTTTTGGGGCTAGGGTACTATGTCTTGAGCAATGATAATATTTTACCAAGAATCCAKTTTTTTTTTTCTCCTCCTCCAGACGATATTAGAAAAAAGCTGAAAATCTTCAGTCCCTTATAGTGCTCGTGCCTTTGCACTTTAAATAAAAGCTTGGTAGAAAGTATCAAATATAAGAAAAAAACTTTAATGCAAAACCAGGAACAAAAACCCTGTCAACTTTGGAGAAGGTTAAAAACATCTGTCAGAAAGTAGGGAATGGTTTGTATTCGTCATTACTCATGCAGTCTTTTTAAGCCATGTCAAAAATACCTATAGCTCCAGGCATTTGTGCATAACTTGAAAAATAGCTTTCACATAAATACGCATGAAACTTAAAAGCGTTGAGAGCAGAAATAATGTTCTTTTTTTGCTTAAACTTGCATTTTGATCACACTTTCTGAACAGCTCTCGACACTCCAAAATTCRGTTACCATAAAGATCTCAGCCAGTGTGTGTGGTAACCTGGTTAGCTCTCGCTCCATGGTTAACTGACATTCCCGTGTATTTGTCTCCATCAGTACTATGCTGATCTTTATGTTATCTATACAAATTCTGTGTTTTGTTTCTTTAGAGAGTGGATAAGAACTCAAAACCTGAATTCTGCTCTATTACATTTTAGTAAGAAATCCCCCGAAGCAAGTAAGTTGCTTTCTACAGAGCAATGGAGCCGTGTTTATGAATGCAGTTTGTAGACTGTAACAATACTGAGAAAAGCTGTAGAGAAATAATTAGTAGAGATAATTTCCCTAGAGGAGAATATTAGAGTTTACTTTTGTTCCGGGTTTTTAATCCAAACCCTAAACCCTTACTCCTGATCTTGTTGAGTAAGCTGCTTGCTAAAGTTCATTAGAAATGATGTCTTGAGTACATTCAGGTTCATGGTAAATAATTAGTACCTAATGTCAGTCCCTTCCACTAATTGTGTTTCTTTTGCTCGCTTCTCTCTGTGCTGTAGGATGGCTTTAAAAGCGGGATGTCTTAATGATAAAGCTTTGAATTTTCTTCAGTGCCTGGTTCTGCCATCCATTTTCTGCATGACCTCTGGTAAAGTACTTAATCGCTCTTAATAGCATGATTGGAACAAGAATGCATTCATTAATATTTGTGAGGCTGCCAGACACTATGCTGTTGCAAGCATTTATAGTACCTTAAAAAAATTATAATTGCGCTATCCAGCTGGTTAATGTTTATTCAGTTACTGAACAGCTAAACAAAAAGCAGAGAGGCAGGCCTACTGTTTTCTCTCCACCAGGATTGAATTTTAAAGGAATTTTTCCATGTTAAAGCTATAGAATTAAGCAGTAGATAAAATACTATTAATAGACCTCTGTAGAGAATAGCGAGCTGAAAGCAAGCCTGGTGCTGTTCTGCAATTAGGGTGAAAAGTAAAATACTGGGAAAACCAGAATACCATTTGCAAACCTCACTTTTCAGAGTACAACCTTTTCATCCCCACCAGGGGGAGTGTACTCAAAGATAATAATTAGCAGGCACAAATTGCGTTTCTGAGGATGATGGTTTCCTCTGCCACCTTCTTGAAATAGAAAAGTACTCTGAGATCTTTGAAAGCCCTTCTTTCTTCCTTTCTTCTTTTCTTCCTTTCCTCCTTTCTTCCTTTCTTYCTGAATGCCTTTCTGAAATTCCTTTCGCCTCAGCTATCGCATTCTGGCCAAGAAGCAACACGAGTGTTTTCTACATCCAGGGCTTTGAACGGATTTTGAACTCATTTTTCAAGCACTGATGTCAAGTACAAGGTCTAGCTGAGAGCTTACCTGGAGCAGAATGGCAATCAGCAAATACAAATCTCCTACATAACAGC